TAATTGATTGATAAATTCTCTTTCACCCAAAGGCATGTTGACTCGATTCAAATTTATTTTTTAAATTCAATCAGATTATTTTCTCTATCACTATTATGCTAAAGCATCAAAAGTTAATTGAAATCTCAAATAACATTTTTATTAAATTCAATCCAGTGAATAATTATAATATTATATTTATTGTGCCATTTGTCAACAAGTTGTAATATTTAATTTTTACAATTCTATTAAATTCAATCCAATAGAATCTATGTTAAGGTAAATGAGTGTTATTATAATTGTTTTTATTGATAATATTTTAATTCATGTAAATAAAAAAAATATAGTTTTATTTTTACAATTTTATTAACATGCATATTGTGCACGTGCAATTTTCCTAGTACAAGAAATATTATTAGGTACTTCTATCTACATCATACTACTCAAATGTCTAGTTAGAATTATTTAGCGCAAGTGTTTTCATTAGTATGTGTCATTAAGTTTTTATTTGGAGTAACTTTATTATTGCTTTCTAAAACTTTCTAAAAATTTGTTTTCTTCATTCTTTCATCTCTCACTCTAATATATTTTCTCTTTGGACTCTTGTATTGTCGTCTTTAGAATGAACATTGATGAATAATTAATAATATGATACACTTGTCAACTTGTGATGTCAAATTCTTTTTTGACAAGGAGTTTATCTAATACAATAAGCTTCCTTTGGAGTTTGGTGGGAATCATCTTGGATCTTTAAGATGGTATGTGCTTACTATCATGATTCTTCATTGTAAATTGGGTTAATGTTTAAAAATGGGATAATTTGTTTGAATTGTTTAATATTAGATGTTAATGCTTGTAAGTAGGGCAATCAAATTATATGATATATTGGATCCTTAAGAGAGTGAAATTTTTTGAGTTATTTTCATGTATGAGGAGCAAGTCATTAGTGTGATATGCATTGCATTACATCTAAGGGAGTATATGATTGCTTTTCAAGAAAAATAAATGATGATGCTGTGATATTATTATGCAATCTGATATTTCATAAGGAGTAGATGATCGCACTATAAATGCCTACTAGTCGAACAATTATTACATCCTCTGATCGGACGTAGAGCTACGTTCGACCACTAATAACATGTCGCCACGTGCTCTTACTCTTTACCACGCGGCCCGACGACTTGACCCGGAGCGGAACCCGGGAATGCTATGTTCGTGATTTTCTCGGTATTGCTCGGTATTTGCTCGATATTTGCTAGGTATTGCTTTGCAAAAATGAGAAATACCGCTTTGTGAAGACCAATACCATGGAAATACCGAGTTGTACCAAGTTTTTTAGAACTCAGTATTTGCTCAAGATTTGCTCGGTATTGCTAGGTATTTGCTCGGTATGCTAGAAAAAACTCGGTACAACTCAGTATTTGCTCGGTAGTTGCTCGATATTGCTAGGTATTTGAAATATATCCAAAAGGTGATGGGATGTTGTTCGGCTCGTTAAGGATTTAGAAAAACGCACATGTGGGAACCCAAAAAACAGCGGGTCGGGTTGGCGACTTTTCTTCATGCTACGTGGCGCTAAAATATTGGTGGCCGAACGTAGAGGAGCGTACGCTCACCGGACCGAATAAAAGTACCTACTAGTCAGCTTTGTTTATGCAAGAGAATATCACTTACTTTTGTACAATGAAAAATAAAAATTATTGCATGCGAAGGATGGATATGCATCATAATTTTGATAATAAGATAAGCATCATCATCATCAATTAAAAAAGTGTCTTTCTAGTACTTTCGGGAAAATGGTTTTATTCAATCAGTTAAGTTTTCATTTGGGACGACTTTTTTGTTGCTTCTTAAATCAGATTTTTAATACAAAAATTTTAAGGTTTGTACTATAAAGCTGCTTTATGAAGCAGTATAAAAGTCTTCTCAAATAAAGTCTAAGACTTCATTTGTGACAACTTTTTTACTACTTTCTAGTAAAAAAATTCTAATTTAAAAAATTATTGTACTAGAAAGTTATTTTGAAAATCAGCAAAAAAATTGACTATTTTATAAAATAGTTTTTTAATAAAAATATTTAATTAATTTTTTTGTACTAAAATGTTATTTTAGAAAATTAAAAAAAAGTTGCCCACATGAACAATTACTCTCTCTTAACCCCCGGGCCATGAAATAATTATGGGCCGCCCAAATCGAACGAAGTTCTTGCCCATGTCATTCTTAGGCTTTGTTTGTTTGAGCGTTTTTTTGCCTTCTCCGTTTTCGAAAACGGAGGATTTTTTTTTTTGTGTTGTTTGGTTCGTCAAATCACGTTCTCAATAACTCATTTTTTTCATTTTTCTACAGTTTTGAGAAAGCTTTTATATGTGCTTCTCAGTTAGAAAACTCCATTTTCTAAACTAATATCTTTTAAAACTGCCTTTTAAAAAAGCACAAAAAAAACAAACAAGCCTTAGCCCAAATAAAGTTTTGTTAATGAATCCCGATTGTAGAGCTCAGAGCATAACCAAGCCCCTGTTCGTCTTCCGGAGATCAAACCGTGGTGGATGAAATGTCTCCAACAAAGGCACTTGCAGCCGCAGCGGCGGTCGGCGGCGGAATGCTCCGATCCCGTCTTCGATCATCGCTTCGCCTGCGCAGCAGTGGTGGCGAAGGTGCGGGGCGATGGACCACCCAAGGGCACGAGGAACGACCAAAAGGCTACCTCTTTAATCGACCGCCTCCACCTCCTGGTGAGTCGAGGAAGTGGGAGGACTGGGAGCTTCCTTGCTACGTAACCTCCTTTCTCACGATCGTCATTCTAGGCGTCGGCCTCAACGCCAAGCCCGATCTCACCATCGAGACGTGGGCACATCAGAAGGCCCTCGAGCGCATGCAGCAGCAGCAGCAGCAGATCGTGGCCGCCGCAGTAGATTCCGAATGATTGGAAGACCTCACTGTAATCGTTGGTGGTCTAGGGTTGTTTAGGATTGGAAGGTGAAGCTGGGATTTGATGCAACTTTGTGGATTTATGGTTTTGATTATGGATTGTTCATCTGCCTATTTTTAATAACAGTCTAGAATAATTTTCCTTTTGGACGTTGAAGGCGTCTGATCTTGTTCTGCTTAAGAAACGCATAATGATAGCTCTTTTTTGGGGTAAATTTCGGTACTTTGTTTAATTTACTTATATGTGATATATGTTCCTTGATTGTTTGTGCAAGTTTGTTTGGATTTTGGTTTCCTTTGTGTTGGACTGATTTTGGCTTCTAATCCCTTTTATACTTCAGATGTTTTTGGTGCAAGTGATGAATAATATTCCTTTCTTTATCTGTTTCTAATAGTGCTTCACTGCTTCATGTAACCAAGGAAAATTAGAAGACCATCCAAACTTAGCATATCTCATTTTTATGTTACTTCAACTTAGTTATTCTTATGTTTCATATTTATTGCATTTCTCCATCTTCCATGATATACAAGGCTAGATTTTTTTTTTTTTTTGGGTACTTGAATGATGGATATCTCCATATATTGTGATTATATTGCAATGCTGACGCTGGAAACCTTATAGCAATGTTCGAACTAGAATCTGGTTGCTTGTACTTAGAAAACATGTTTAAGAAAAGTTGATTTCATTTTCTCTCATTCTAAGTTTGAGAATGAAATCATCACTTTGTTAGAGATTTAAGGAATTTGCTTATGTTTGAAATCAATGTTGATTCTTAACTACTTCCAACCAAATGATGAATTTGCAAAAGTTCATCATTTTTCAAACATATTCGCTAGTATGAAGTAATCATGATGCCCAAGTTACAAGCAATCCTATGACCTATTGATTTATAAACCTTCTCCAACTAAGTTAATGTGTCGTACATTAAAATTTTGGTAGTGAGTAATTGAGCATGGGTTACGACGTGATACTAATGTTTCTCAAAATCAATTTGGATTCATGCCGGGTAGGTCTACTATGGAAGCTATACATATGTTAAGAGGTTTGAAGGTAAAGTATTGAGAGTACGGAGGATCTACATATGATATTTATTGATTTAGAGAAAGCATATGCTAAAGTTCTATGAAAAGTGCTTTGGAGAGTTCTAGAAAAGAAATGAGTTAATAATGCTTATATTCACGTCATTAAGGATATGTATGCTAGAGCCAAGAGTTGTTGCTTGTGTTCAACACAAAGTGGTTTGTCTAAGTATTTTATTATTTCAATTAGATTACACCAAGGATCTGTTTGAAGCCCATTTATTTTTTGCTTTAGTTATGAATGTTCTTACTAGACATTTCCAAGAGGATATACCCTAGTATATGCTTTTTGCTAATGATATTCTTCTTGTTGATAACACTAGAGAGTGAGTTGAAGGAAAACTTGAATTATGGAGGTCAACCTTACAGTCTTAAGGTTTCATTTGAGTTGACCTAAAATTGAATACATGGATTATAATTTTAATAGTAATAAATCTAGTTGTGAGATTGTGACATTGGGTGATCAAGACATTAAAAAGATTGCACGTTTTAGATATCTCAGTTCTATTGTTCAAAGCGATGGTGAAATTTATGGGGATATTATTAGTAGAAATTAAGCTGGTTGGTTGAAGTGGAGGAATGCATCAAACATGTTGTTGATAGAAAAGTACTCAAATTTAAGGGAAAATTTTATAAGATTGTGGTGAAACCTGCAATGTTCTATGATGCAGAATGTTGGCTATTAAAAGAGAAGTATAAAATTAAGGTAAGTGTTGTAGAGATGAGAATGCTCAGGTGGATGAGTGACTTTACACTTGGAGACAAAATGTGAAATGGGTATATTCATGAAAAGGCTGGAGTAGCTCCAGTGGTAGATAAGATTAGAGAGAGTCGTCTTAGATGGTTTGGTCACATATAGCGTCGACCTTCCGATGACATGAAAAGATGTAGTTTGAAAGTATTAGAAATGATTCTTTTATTTGATTTAAATGAGAATTTGACTCTTAATAGGATACAATGAAGAAGAATGATTTATGTAACCAACCCCACGTGGTGGGATAAAGGCTTGATGTTGTTGTTGTTGTCATCCGAATAAGCTATTAAGGTAACTGGAATATCATCTATTATGTTATTCTATGATATTTAAAGTTGCCATTGATTTGGCTTAGTGATAATTTTTAAATAATAGATTTGCAAATGAATGTTGTCATGTGTAGGTGACATTTAGATGGAAAGATCACATAGTAAATATAACGTCCAAAAATCCTATTCTCCACTCTTGTTCCTTCAATTACAGAGCAAACCAGTAAATAATGAATAGCAAATTCAGTTAATTCAGAAAAGTACGCATGACGAGCATATAGATGATGCATCAAAACTTATTAAGGCTATTATGGGTTGGCTAATATCAAGTGTTGTCAAGCAATTGAATGATGCATTATATAATTTTTAATGTAATTTGACCTTTTTTAATTTCCTTAATTGATTCAATTGGTTTAACCTAATCAATCAACTAGTCCATTGGAATTTACCAAATGCACACTCTTTTATTAGAACATCAAAATTTGGAAAATAAAAATCGAACTGAATAAATTGAATTACATTTTGGTTTTCTTTGACTCAGTTTTACATATTATTTAGTTAGTTTGATTCCATTTGTATTTTAGTTCGGTTTTATTGGTTTAGCAAATTTGTCAATCGTCCAACCAAATCGACCTAATGCACACTCCTAATTATCTCTATCCCAAATTTCTTTTTACTAGCTCAAAGTTCTTTAATATCAAAGGTTTCAATCAAATGAGCTTTCGTCTTTTGGATTTGTGATGCATCTTTAACCGCAATCAACACATTATCAACATATAAGAACAAATATATATATATATATATATATATATTTATACATATGATCCACTTGAAGCCTATTTGTGGTACCACAACTATTAAATGAGCTTCATCTAATCCTACGATTGATCATGAAACTATCAAACTTCTTATACCTTTATCTGGAAATTACTTTAGGCCATATATAGGCCATTAGGCCCTTTTAGTACATACGCCTGACTTCTCTTTCTTCTACTTTCAAGGTCTAGTGGTTATTGCATAGTTTGATAGTGGTTATTGCATGTAAACCTCCACACTTATCACCATAGAGAAATATTGTCTCACACTCATCCGTTCTAATTTCAAATGAGAAAGATTTAGGATTGATGTTTGGTTGATAATTAATTGTAAAAGTTATGCCAACATAAATCTCATCTGTTAGAACCACTACTATAAAATTATTAATACAGTTGTACTTATCAATAGGTAAGAAAATATATTTGGAGGTCACAACTTATTTTTTCAAAGTATTTTGCGATTAATGGAGCTCTATATGTGATGGTATTTTCACCCCGAGTTCCCTTTTTGCTCTTGAAGATTCATTTGCAATCAACCATCTTTTTTCAAGGTAGTTGAACAAAATCCCAAGTGTCATTTTTCTATAAAGTCTCCAAATGCATATCCAAGGAATATATACACACTTTTAGCTCTAGGGTCTAGCTTATTTTTTTTGGCATGAGCATAATTAGGAAAACCAAAGATCATTAGAATTGAGTAATTTGTCATATAACCTGACCATGCTTCTTCAAAAGTCAACAACTCATTTGCAAAAGATAAAGATATGTTCACTATAAAACATGCAAAATTAATAGTCTACCAAAAATTCTTTGCTCAAATTAGCATTGGTTAGCATGTTTTGCCCCTCTTTAAGAATTATCGTTTTCATTCTTTTGTTTCTCCATTTTGTTGAGATGTCCTCACTATTTTCTTATGTCTAACAATGTCATTTGACAACAAATCTCAAACTCAAAAAGAACCAAATTCCAACCCATTGTTAGTCCTTAATATCTTAATCTTTTCTGTTTGCTTCTCAAATTGTGTCTTCAACTTATTATGTCTCAAATATGTCACTTTTGCATGAGTGTTTAAACTTATGTTTTTCTTAAGAAATCATCTATATGAATGTAAACAAGTATATATGTCCAACTATTGATCCGACACTAGCAGGACCCCACAAGTTAGAATGAATACAGTCTAAAGTACTTTTAGTCCTATAAACTTCAATAAAAGTTTCAATATGTGATGTTACCTTGGACAAATGCTCAGAAAACTCCAACGCTCCAATCTTTTGATTAAAAAAAAAAAAACTCTTTCTGCTCAAATTAACTAAGTCTCGCTGTAACATATGCCTAAGCCTCATGCTCCATAATCTAGTAAAATCATCTGAGGAAGAAATTAATGCATCACCTGTCATTATACTTCCTTGAAGAAAATAGAAATTGCTTCTTCTTTTTTGTTTTGCTCTTTTCAAAATCATGCACCCTAGAAACTTATAGAAACTCCATCATCAGCAATGAATATGCTGCTTTAGAGTCCAATCTGGCCAAAGACATAATGCTAGTCCATGTCTGACATATCCTAAAGTCCTCACATCTTCATCATATGTGTTGATCTATTTAGCATCGCTCTAACATATGTTTAGCTTGGCTCTTACATATTTGTAAGTAACTTCATGTCCCATAGTCAAGTAAAATCATTTGAGGAAGACATTGAGGGATCACAAGTCATTATGCATCCTCGAAGGAACTAGAATTTGCTTTCTTTTTTGATTTCTTCAAAACCATACACCCATTGAAGCCTGTAAAACTCCATCATCAATAATAAATACACTCTCTTCAGAGTCCAAACTGTCCAATGACATAAGATTCTTCTTTAATGCTAGCCTGTATTTGACATCTCCTAAGGTCCTCACAATTTCATCATATCTATTGATCTGAATTGTCCCTATTCCAATAATCTTATAGGTTATATCAAAGCCCATAAGGATATTTCCATCATTGCAATTGAGGCTCATGTGATATGGATGTAATCATCAGTAGATGAAACAAGCCACCCCAAATCTGTCAAAATTATATTGAGAAAAAGATCAAAAGAGTCCATTAACTTTTATGAAAATCAAACTAGTCATGAATTATATTAAATGATCATTTTGGTCCCTTAACTCCTTAAAGAGTAACCAAAATAGCTCTATCATGGGACTATTTTGATTTTTTTTTAAAGACTTGAGAGACTAACATTGTCCTTTAATAGTTGGGGACTATTTTGATCTTTCATAAAGGGTCGAGGAACCATTTTAATATTTTTTTTTCAAACTATGTCTGACTCACTCTTTTGCTCTGCAAGTGTTGCTGGTTCAGAGCTAGATTTGT